GGACGCCCTTGGAGCTGGGGCCTGGTGCCGTGGTGAGCTGTGCCGCGATCCTCCGGCTCCGCGCCTTTGCCTCCTTCAGCTCCTTCTCGGAGAGGCTGGCACTGCGGGAGAGACCTAGACAGAGGGGAGAGGGGAGTTAGGGAGGCTCAGAGGGGATGTGGGACCTCAGCCCTCCCCACCCCGGACCGGCAGTCCTTCCTCCAGGTATCCCCAGCCTCCTAACCCCTTTCCCAGCAGCTGGGGGAAGGTAGGAGGGATGCTCTGGGGCTCAGGTACACAGTGGGAGTATCACAGTCAGATATCACAGTCCAGAGGTGATGGGGACCCAGAACAGCCCCTTCTGAGCTGCAACTCTTCACAACAGACAGCAAAGCCCAGGAGACAACCAGGGGCACTCAGGACCTTTCCTCCCATCCCATCCTGTATTTTGGCTGGGCTCTGCATGCCCACCACCATGACCATATGGGAAAGGAATTCCTCCAAGGGCTTCTGCATGTCTCAGGTTGCAGCTCACATGGTTTTGGCCCCCAGCTCGAAAAGGCAGCGGGCAGGGAAGGGGCCAGCGCATGTTCCCTGACCTCTCGCCCCAAATCCCAGCATGCTTGGCCTCAAGTGGGCAGGAAAGCAAACCCAGCATCGGTGGCGAGATGCCAGCCCACTACAGCCTCATGGGAAGGCCATGGCCAGCCCTGTCTGGGTATTTCTTTATGGAGCAACACGAGATGGCAGCAGCTGACAGACGCTGTGCAGATCCAGACATGGACACAGCGCACAGCAAGACACCAACCTCATGCCCTCGGAGCCTACAGAAGTGCTAAAAGCAAAGTGCTAAAAGCCCAGCGACAGCCCTGCGGCAAGTGGCTGGAGGGCTGCTGGGCTTCTCACACGCTGGCCAAAAGGTCAGGGCACCAGCCCTTCCCGAAGGCCAAAAGGATGTGGAGCTGCCGGGAACGCATTTTCTAGGAGTGAGCAATTTCCTACGAGCTTACCCTGAAGCGCCCGCGGAAAGGACAGCGTCCCTGGCCCCGCCGAGGCCACTGTTTGGAGACATGCACCAGTGTGGAGTATCAGCATCATCACCCCAGCATCCACCAAGGGTGCAGCCCCCTCCCCAAAGATGCTGCTGGGATGGCTGGCATGCTAGCCCCAGTAGGAAGGTGGGTGGCCAGGGCCGCCTGCCCCCAGTCCTGCTCCGTCAAGCGCTGCCAGTGCCTGCTCCCATTCCCTTCCCTTCTTCCCTTCCTTCATGTGTTTCTCATTTTCTTGCCTTCTGTGCTGCTTGGGAGCCTTCCAGGATATTTTCAGCAGTGGCTCAGCCTACCAGCGAGGGAAGGGATGGATGACTAAGCCAAATCCTTCCAGAGAACCCACGGTGAAGCAGGAGGGTTGCTAGAAGCTAGGCATCTCTTCTGCCTCGCTCTTCATCTCTCCTGCCTCGCTCAGCACCCAACAAGTCTCTGCCCTGGCCCCAGCACCGCCAAGGTGTGCAGGATGGCCCTGCCACCCCAGAGAGGCTTGAGAGGAGGAGGAGGGTGGATGAAGCCTTCAAGCTGCTTGACAGGAAGGCTTCCAGCTGGGCACAGGGGAGATGAGGCAGAGGTGCCAGTGGAAATTCTCTCCTGGAGACGAGAAACCCATCCACAGTGGTGACGCCGGCAGCCAACATCTCCCCCGGTTCGCGCCCGGCATTGTTCAACGCCCCATTTCTATTTGCTTTGGCGGCGGCACAGAGCGGGGCCGCGGTTTCCTCTGGCCTGGCTGGCTGGAGGGCGGCCAGCACCGCGACTCCTGCTCCACGGGGTCGCCCTCGCCGCCTTTATCTCCGAAGCAGAGAAGAAATACAGCCAAGGAGCCATTGAGAAACAAGCCACAGGCTCCAGATGTCTGCGAATTTTGGGCTCCAAACTGAGCATCACTGCAGCCTCGGAGGCTGAGGCCGCCTAAGAAGCCGAGCTCTCGGCGGAGCCATTTCGCAGCTTCTCGCTCTTGCTACTGCCTTTTAACAGCAACTGTGGGGCCTTGGAGGATCTCCTCCACGCCGGAGGGATGACTCAGCTCTTGGCCAGCCTGTTCCTGCTTGGACTAGCCGCCGGATACACTCCTGCATAGCTGGGACCATCACCAGGATTTGCCACCCAGGATTTTGTCCCCAGCTATCACCAGCCCTTGCGGCTACCCCAGGCACAGGCATCCCACTCAGGCAGAGGGTGCTGCCAGATGGGAGCCCCCACCTGAAATCCCCCATCCAGCAGCTGCTCCCAGCATCACCTTGTGGGCCTGATCCCCTATGTGCCTCCAGCAGCCCCTCTGCCCCTGCCCACCTGGTACTTGCTGCTCCCGGACTGGAAATTAATCCCTCAGGATACAAGTGGGAATTCTAAGGGTAATAATTGCTCTTCACATCCAATTTTTATCGCATGGATAGAGAGCACCAAAGCCTCTGTCAGGCCAGAGGAAATCACAGATTACAATTCTGTCCACCGCCCTGCTTACACAGCTGCATGCAGCCCAGCAGACAGATGGACGGACAGACAGAGCCTGTAGCCCTGCAACCTGGCTCCGCAGGCACTGCTGCAAACGCAGCTTATCATCGCTTGACCTAGGGTGACATCCCATCCCCAAAAAAAGGCAGGGAACCACCTCCCTCCCTCCTTCCCTCCAGTCTGAGCCATAGGACAAGGTTATTTCACCCAGCACAAGAGCCTTCAGCCATCTGCTGCCATAGCCAGAGGGACCCCCATCACTCAGGGCAGCTCCCACACCCCTTGCTCCCCTCCCAGCCCCAAGGAACATCTCCTTATCCTTCCCCGCCATCCCCTGCCTCAGGCAGGGAAGGGAGCTCAGTGAGCCGAAAACGTCCAGGTGCTGGGGAGGAGGAGGAGGAGGCTGCAGGGCTGAAGGCAGCCTGAACGGCGCAGGGAGGAGAAAGCAAAACTGCACGGCCGAGAGTGCCCAGGGCTCACGCGGCACTAGAAACCGGCTTCCACCCATTAACGGGAGTCCAGTCCAAAATCCAAGGGTGGTCGGCTCTTCTCACGCTCTTCCACTCTTCCTTCCCTCCTTCCCATGCCGTGCACTGGCTCGCCAGCACGCTGCCCTTCGGGAAGGAAACATCTTCCCTCTCCAAATGTCCCAGCTTCTTCCAAGAACAATGAATCCAGCCCCACCAGCCCTCTCTGCTGCCTCATCCCTGTGTTGGGGGGGGTCTCTGTCAGCCCCCAGCCCTGTGGTCCAGGGATGCTGGGGAAGGAGATGCTCCCTGTGCCCCACAGCATTGCTGGGCTCTGGGCACATGCAAGCAGCCAGCCAACAGCCAGTGAGTGCTATATTGGTGCAATGCACTCCAGCTCCAGCCAGAGGAGCCTATAGATCTCCATCTATATATTTATATAGGCACTTGCTCAATAGGTTTCCTGTTGCTCCAGGGGTGATTTCCAGTAACATCCCCCTAGTGCAGGGCTTAACAGCTTCCTACCGAGCTGTCAGTCATCCTCCCCACAGCACGTACTGTGCTCTCCTCCAGAGCGAGGATGACAAGGGTGACGAAAGGCATTTTTTGTTGCTTTCCCCTCTTGGCCAGATGGGGAAAAAAAATTCCTTCCAGCTCAGCTTTTCGTGCAAAGAATGGGTCCCCCCTGCACAGTGCTACTACAGTGTGTCTGAAGTCCAGCCAGCAAAGGCTGGAGTCACCATCCAACCCCAAATGATGATGAAGGATATATCAGACCCTGCTTGTGGCCCATCCTGCCCTGACATGGACTCCAAGAGCTGGAATGAGATGAGGATTTGGCCCCAAATTGCAGGGAGGGGAGATAACCCAGGACTCTCTGAGCCAACAGATTCAGTGGAAGTTGCTTCCAGCAACTTGGAAGCTGTTGCCTTGCAGGTCTGGGTGGCTGCAAGCACCAGGCGTGGTGGTGAAAAGTCTTTGTACGGAGAAGCCAAGAGGTAGCAGAGTCCCAGTGGGGTCAGCAGGATGCGAAAGGCCACGTGAAATCTTGGACTCAGGGCTGGCAGGTGACTCCAAAATCTTCAGTCCCCAGCCTGCTCCTGGTTTGGATGCTCAGACATCCCGGTGCGGCAATCCACTTCGGCCAACCCGCAGGATGATGCTCAGGATGTCCCACTGGACCTGTCAGCCCCAGGGCTGTCCAGGGCCAAGCAGAGCATGGACAAGAAACCCCAAATCCACCTTTGCACAGCACAGCAGCCATAGCCAGCAGGCGCTTTTGCCCCTTTCCAAATATTTCTTGGGCTGCTGCGAACAACTCAAGTTGTGCCTCTTGCTGGCAAAATCCCACTGGCAAAACCAAGAATTAAACCAAGACAAACCCCACCTCCAGAGGGACACACGGTGACACCGTGAATACTCCCTGCAACCAACCCCAACACACATCTACAGTCAGATGGTGCTGGGGAGGGGGAAATCCAGTGTTTTCACCCAAACATTTAGGGCTTTGGACACTGAGGAAATGTAAGCAGGTTTTATGGCAGAGAAGCCAACTGGCCTTTTGCCCCAACTACAGCTGTGCAGGATTTTTTGCAGTGCGCACTAACTCACACACACTTAAGGCTGCTCTTTCCTCCAGCTCCCGGAGTTATCCCAAATAATCTGCTGCTAGGAAAACAAGGGGGCAGCGCATAAAGGCAGTCGAACTAGCTAGAAACAGACATAATTCAAGCAGATGGATAAAAACCTTCCTATACCCCAAATATAAAACTTCCACCAAGTTTTTATCCATGCTGGCCCTGCAGACCCAAAAACCCCTCACTCAAAAGATGGGAGCCATGGTGGGAGCACCATCGCTGGCCTGGCAGGATGCACCGTGCTGCACCTCTCCTCACAGGCGCCTTTGCCAGTGACAAAATCTGGCACAGCGAGAAAATTCGATGCGCTTGCAAGTTTTCCCTGCGTTCTGTTCGCAAGGGCTTTGCTGGATTTGGAGCTGTTTGTCTCCTCATGCTCCTCCTGGCTTGCAGCCATGCCCCTGCCTTGCCCAGCACACAAAGCCTGCTGAAAATCACCCCAAAATCCCCAAGCACCAAGCCCGGGGGCACCCATCTGCCACCCAGGGAGGGAGGAGGAGAAGGGGCTGGGGGGTTTTCCTCTGTAA